GGAGGAGGAGGGACGGGACGGCGGCGACGTTACCAAATCGCTATGGCGTAACATTTTGCTTATTCACGTTCGATTATACAATCTGGCACACTTTTACTCGGAGCGCGGCTCAGCGGCCCTCGAGCGCGCCTCGGTATAGCGTAGTGTCATTACATTACAATTTTGTCTCTTACTTTCCAAACTTTGCGCGGATAGCAATGTCCTCCTTTCTTTATATATACATATAAAGTAAAAAAGAAAGGGCAAAAGAAAAAAAAGAAACGAAAAAAACACCTTTATGTACACGTATTTATTTTTTCGTATGTTAAATAAATATTTAAATGTTTTGTGTAACAAACTCGTAAAGTTGTTTTCAAAAGCGTCTTGTGGTTTCCGGGTTCAATTTATACACAATATTTCAATCGAGGAAACAGAGATGCTAAATTTCGTATAAACGTTAGGAATAAAATTAACGCAGAGCTGTTAGTTCGCTCGCGTTTTTCGTGGCGCATTCTTTGCGAAATTTTACGGGCTAACCGTAGAGTTATTATGGACGGCATATGTGAAAGACAAGCTTACTCCGAGCTACGGAAATGTTCATTAAGGCGCTGTATTATTAGCAGATTTCGAGCAGCCGCAATTTACGATTCGGTAAACGGCGATCATTTCGTATCTCCGCGCGTACCACGAATGGCGCTTTAAACGCGCCTTAAAGGCGCACGTGGCAATTGTCTTCTTCGACTAAAACGACTTGGGCTCGACAGGCGCAGCGTCGTAAAAAGGAGGTTAAAAACGGTCTCGCGGGATATTTTCAATTAGGGAAAGTTCGATCTCATTGTCGAGCGTGTCGCGATGGGGAGCGTGTCGCGGCCTGCGATCATAATAAAACACAACGAGTATTGTCGCTTCCGTTCGATGCGCCCGCCCCCCCCCCGCCCGTCTCTCTTCAATTTTCTTTTCGCGGTGATAATTGATACTCCGCGCTCGCACGCGGAGAATTTCACCGCGATTTTACGCCGGGACGCTTTTCACCTCGAGACTCGCGGCTCGGCTCGTCAAGAAATCAACCTTGGCGCCGATCCGAGAAACGCGACTGAGCTCTCCGCTATGCCAGCTGCGTACGTTGATCAGCTGTCGATTCCGCATCGAACTTACGCTTGCTGGCAAAGAAGAGGAGGATTTTCCGCGTCGCGAAATCACACTCGAGAAATCTCCCGACTTCGCGTCCCGATTAATTATATCTCGCGCGCGCCGACCCGAACAGACCCGACTGACCCACATCGTCTGTTCGCGTAATTAATTTCCGCGACACCTTGACGCGGGCGAATTGGTCACACAAACATTCCGACGTCGGTGAGAATTGGTAAAAACCTAAGGCCGAGTGCCCGCAATCCGCAAAGTGTTATTCCGCGTCGTCCTCAATTTTAGGATCGCTGACTTGCTCAATCTTGGAGCCTCCTTCAAAACCTCATTACCGTGGACGAAATTTTTATGCTTAGAATTGAATCGCGAAGAGCTTACGCTTGCTTTCATCATTGAAAAATTCCCTTCAACGTCGCGGAAGCATGAGAAAGCAATTACGCGCAATTTTTGTATTTTTATCATAGATAATTAAAGGGATTAATTTGAGTTAAATCCGAGAGATGTTAAATCGGATAAAATCGTGCTCCTTGTATCGGCGTCCCCTAATTTTACAAGTTTTACAGAATTCTGATTTAGAAAGTTTAAAAATAATTGCTAAGATCGGTAGAAAATTCCTATCCTGCTATCTAGATATCTCTCACGAAGAAAACATCCGCTACTTTGTAACAAAGATTGCATGTATCGAAGGAGAAAACTGCGCGTCTGCGTCTGTCAAGATGCGAGAGCGTAGACGGAAATGCTTCAGCGGCAGGAAGCGAATCTGGGCCGTCGAATCGGAGAACGGCAAGTGGGTCACGAGAACGAGTCGCGCTTTGGAGGTGTCGACGTCGTCGTCGTCGACAGCGACAGCGACAGCGACAGCGACAACGACAGCGACAGCGACAGCGACGGCGACGAGGACGGCAATCGCTCTCTTCCACGTTCTCCGCGACAAGGCGAATCCTTTCACTTGGCATCTTGGTCGCGGAGGAAGTTCTCCTCTCGCGGTCTCGTCTTAGACAGACTAGATGCTTCCTGCCTTTGCGCGCTCATCGAGAAACTCGCGGCACTTCTTTCTTACGACTATCGCCTTTGAAATCGCGGATTTACGTTCTAATTCCTTTATCACTTTCTCGCCTGCTGAGATTAAAACTGTACGACGCTTTGGTGTTAGTTACTACGTTTACTTTATGATCCGAGTGACCGGTGTGTCTAAGCATTTATTAATATCACTTGACGTACGGTATGATTATTATTTTCACCGCACAATGTGAGAAAGCTATACAGAGCGTTTCGTTTATTCCGCTACAGCGGAAAGTGAAATAAGTGTCAGAGATTTGATGTCTCCTAAATTGCGCAATTGGTATGTTGCAGGAAAAATCGCCCGCTTGTTTTAAAAATAAGCAGGAAAAATAAAAATGTTCAAAAAAGGACTAGGCAAAATAGGCATAATGTCAATATTCATTTACATCTCACTCGCGATTGTTTTATTATATTCCGAGCTGCTGCATGGCGTATCGTGCATAAAAATATCGCTTGTACATTTACATCTTTCACATCTTCGCAATTCGTTTAACGAAGATATAAATATTCCCTGATGATTGATTCAATAACGTAATATTTTCAATTTGGCGCGCGCATTGCGTTTTAAAAGATTCTAAAGTAAACCTGATCCTGTCACCCGAGCAAAATGACAGAAAGACACAATACGATGTCGTTAAATCGTAAAATCGTCGAAGCATCTTTCGCTCGCGTGGTAACTCGTCAAAAACGAAAATATTCCGCGTTTGGTTAGTCGGCGATCGAATCGATATCTATGAAGTCGAAATAAACTTCACGGGCTATCGTTACGACGATCGAGTCTTCAGATGCTACCGTGAGATACCGAAATCACTGTTTCATCGAGTATTCATCGTCCCCTCCCCCGCGAATTCCCCCGCATTCTACCCCCGTCTCCTCCTCTTTTCGACCGCCGATCGATCGCGATGAGAACGGAGATACATCTACTATCGTCGAAATTGCCGATAAGTAAACGAGGTCAAAGAAAAGGCCCGCCTCATTGCAAGTCTAGCGTGAAATCCGAATCGTCAGATTGCTATCCGCTTCCTTCGCCCGTAAAGGGTGAAATTTCGAAATCTCAGATCACTATTCCCGGCTCGGATTTTGTTTTGTAAATTTTGACATTCTTCCGACGACGACGACGACGACGACGACGACGACGACGACGACGACGACAACGACGACGACGACGACGACACGGAATGTCAATCGAGTACCGTTCGACACATCGCGCGACCGGAGCATTATTCGTTATTACTTGTTATTGCCCATTGTTCGAAATCATCAGGTGGATTCCCGGGGGAAAATTTCCTCAGCGGGGCACGCTAATTTCGCCAATTATGTTGTTGTAATAAATTAGAGTTTGAGAACTTACGTGAGGATGGCTGACGGTAATGCAAGTGATGCTGAAGACCTTGCGCTTGATGATGATGGTGATGGTGGGGCGGTCCCATCGTCGGACCCATGGTATGGTTGCTGTGCTGATGGTGCGGCGAGCTCCCCCGATGTGGGTGATACTGGGAGGGATGATGCTGATGAGGATGATAGGTAGGCGACAGGAAGCTTGCCGTCGACCCCGGATATACGCCAGGGCTGTGGCAGGCTGATCTACCGAGTGCTGCTGTCGATAAAGGCGTTCAATAAGAAAGTACAGCTCGGAAGTACATCGAAAGTACATCTCTTTTCAAGTTTAAATTCGATCAACTTTTAATCTATCAATCTTACTTGGACGAGCAAAACTATCTTTAAACGATTTAACATCTAATCCACAATTATCGTGTAAATTTTCATATATAAATAAACATACATCCGTCTCCGAAATACAATCGAGATTTATTAGAAAGATTTAGAATTAAAAATATAATTTTTTTATAAACTTGGCGTTCGTTCGTCACGAACTTTCTTATCCTTGAAGGTTAATTTTCTGATAAAATTGACTCGACAAGAGCTAGATGAGTCCTATTGGAAGCTAAATGGAAAAATTGGAGGCCAAATGGAACAATTCTTAATGACAACATATTTTATTACAAGCCATTCAAAAATTCCTTTAGCAATTTGGCAAACAAATAATCTTCCAAAGAAGTTGATGTATAAAATAATATTCTCTCTTCGTTTAAGGCTTTTCTTTCTAAGATTTTTTTTTCTCACTTGTGTAAACACGTCAATGATAAAGATCGAGCTCACCCGACGACAGATGAGAGTGATGAGACGCCAAGCTCGGCTGGAGGGACGAATTAGGATTGAGCCTGGCTTTCAGTAAGAGATTCGCGTCCTCGTTGCCACCGGAGGACGTGCTGGACTCGACGTCACTGACTCCGCTGTCCGCTGGACTCGCTGGCAGTGATCCACTTCCTGCTTCCAGCCATGAAACAAAGGGAGGAGACGCGTCCTCGGTGATAAATAGTGGACGGAATTCGCAGCGATAAGACGCGACACCGTCAATTAATCTCGCGCGATTCGGTTCCGCGCGGAACAGCGCGATAAAATAAAATGGAAGGCACTCGAGAGAATTGTATAGAGAGAGAGAGAGAGAGAGAATCGTTTGCCTTTAGAAAATTCTTATTTCGTACAAAAGTGGCATTATATACGCAACAAGGGGAACGAAAAGTGTAGAAAAAGTTGAGTCGAAAGTTGTGTGTTTGCGTGATAAATACGAATAATAAAGTGAATAAATAAATGAATATCTTTCG